GGGGGGGGTAGGAGGGGTTGTGAAAGGAAGCGCGGTTTTCCCAGGGCCCGCTCCGGGCTCTTTAATTCCATCTGGGGGCGGGTGGGTGGGGGTTCCCACATCGGCCTGGTTCACAAAGTGCATCCAGCGGCAGGGCCGGACGCTGGGATCAGGGGCCTTCTGGGACCGGCTTGCAATCGGAGACCCTAGCCTGGGAGGAAACTGGAAGCTAAGACTCACTCTTAGGGGGCGGCCAGTGGGGGTTATGGGTGAAGCTCCAGAGAGGAAGTCAGCCTACAATGTGTGGAGGAAGAGCGAAGGGGCGTGCCAATGTCCTCCCTCCACTTCTGTACTTCAGCCACAGCTTCACCTCTTTCATTTCTGCACTATAATTAGAAGACAATCATGCTGTTGCGCATTTATCTATGGCTTTTTCTGCTGGTGTAACTCTCTGGCACATAATGCATTCATTCAGGTATGTGACATTGGATTAAGTGCACAAGTTTAGGGAGTATCTAATAAATGCTTTTGCCAGGGACTATGACTAAAACTAAAAAAGGTGGAGTGATCTAAGCATCTCTTGTATGCAAGCACTGCATTTCAAGATCCTCATTACAGTAGAGTTACTGGACTTTATGATTGCAGATTTATTTTATTCTCAAAATAAGAAATGCCCCAAAGGGCAAAATACAGACTAGTTTATCATGTGCAAGTTTAAACAAGAATGAGCTGAATTTTATGGTTAACCCATAGAAGCTTGGAAACAATACAGTGTAATTCTTGCCTTTGACACAAATCATCTTTTGACAGTCTTTCTGAAAGGAGTCTTCAGGAAGGGCTGATTGTTTGGGGGGTGTGACTTCCCTAGCCGCATGCTAATGTTCCTGTTTAGCCTGAGAGACCGTCATTTGCTGGACTGCCCGCTGACGCTGATACTCTGGGAACGTGCTTGAAAGACTCAAATAAATTGTAGGGTTTATTTACAGTGGAAATGATTGCTCTTTTGTCCTTTGGGTTGCTCAGTATTTTTCATAATGCCAAGAATGATTAACCAATCGTCTGCTTTTGTGAATGTTTTAAGTTGCTTTTTCAGACAAGGCTGACCTGTGGTCACATGACATTTTCTCTTTACAAAGCAGAGCATTAATCATGATTTGATGGTGCTGGGAAGTCTCGACTGTTTGTTGTTGGTTAATGTAATAGCCCCGCCCCTTCCACATCTGGACCGTAAGCATGGCTCATTTCCTTCCACCCCCCACAGCTCCCCTCCTGTTGCTTGTAATGATTGTCTAAATTCCTTTTTTGCAGGCCAAACCGATTTATGGAGGCTGGCTCTGTTTGGCCCCAGAGGGGACAGACTTTGATAACCCGATGCAGAGATCCAGGGTGAGTGAATGGCTGCATTTTGGCCATTTTCATTTTCTACTATTTTGGCTATTTTCATTTTTTATTTACATGCTTACAATGAAAAATGTTATAAAATTAGGAAGCATCTCACAAAGTCAGTTCAGTTGCTCATAATTTACTTATTTAACCAGCATAATTTAGTGTTTGTTTATTCCAGAGTCAAATTAACATCTGTAGTCCTTCATCAGGATATGAAATTGCATTGTGACCCTTTACAAGAATGACGACATTAGGCAGCACAGATTATGTAGCTACTAAGTGTGATATTGTAGATAATTCTGGTTTGTTGTATACATAATTTCCATTTTCCTGGGGATTTATCGCTGTAACAGATTATACTTGTGGCAAAGTTAGTTACTAAGTCATGTGGGCCTTTACTTGCATTACCTGTTGTCCTGTTCTGTGGCACTGAGCCTGTCTGTAGGTGAGACGTCATCGCATCACTTTTGCGAGTTTCACCTGCCTCTAGGCATTAGACGCGCAGTGAACTGTTTATTTGAGGCCGGTGACAAACGCATCGTTGACTCGTTGCAGAAATGGCAGCGGAGGTTCTTCGTCCTCTACGAGCACGGCTGTTTGCGGTTCGCTTTGGACGAATCGGTAAGTAGCTCATTCCCAGTGCCACTCCGACTTGTACTTTCCCATTTTCCCATGTTGCCGCAGCCCCTTCTAAGCTGAAATTGCTCTAGGTTTTCTTCCCCTCATTTCCATGTTTCAGAGTGGTCTAGGCCTTTGGTCTAGGCCTTTGTGTTTCTTACTTTATATTTGTGATCTTTGTCAGTTCAAAGGAGCAGTAATTAATTGCAGAATAATGACGCAGGAAGTTAGTCCGTATGTAAACATTACATTTAGATTTGGCGGCTCGTATTCTGGAAAAAATTTTCGCTATGCTTGTGTTCTTAACAGCTGAAATCCTTATTGGAAAACGTGGCTTTTCTAGGAAGTAACTTCATTTATAGGGCTGCCTGACCTTAGCGCTGTCCTCCCAAAGATAAAACGATTTGTCGATAATTCTAAAGGAAGAAGAAAGGTTAGTTGCCTGCTGTATCAGTGGCTATGGTAACCTTTTACAACGGAATCTTTCCAGAAGAGCGAGTACCTGTCGGCTTCTTATCAAACAGCCACACCTGCATGTTTAACTTGTAAATGAGCAGCCAAGAAAGTAAAAGGTGAGAATCTTAAGTGTGAGGCTCATAGCCCAGGAAGGTTCTCTCTGACCTCCGCACAGGATTGTGAGACGGGGCAGAATTAGGGGCTTGATCCGCTTAAGATTAACCGGTCTGCGTGTGAATGCATGGCAGCACCTGCGCTGGGTCCGTCACGAGGGCCAAGAGGCTAAGGCCCTGACGTCAGAATGTACCGGGCCTCCGGCGACACCCTCCCCGTCCCATCCGCACGTCAGCAGGCTGCTGTGGGCTTCCGTTCAGATAAGCAGCCCTGTGATACGTGGGCCTTCAGTTAGCTTAGTACTTTTCCTTTCATTGAAACGGGTGCACAAATACTGACAGCTGCATTGTCTTTAAGGTCTTTTATCCATCTGTTCCAAGAAAGAAAGCATGGAAATTAGGTCAGTGAATTGGTTCCTTTGTGTACCCTGAAATAAGAACTCGTGCACGTCTGACTGAGAAAAAGCATCTCAGAATTTGGATGCCTGGCCGTGATGGGCGGGGAACTTGCCATGTATAAACTGATATTATTTATTGTCTTTTGTGACTTCTTGAAGCATAATTTATGTAGCTTAGTTGCCAGTGAAGAGTTTCAACAGAAGCGGTTTTTTATTTGTTCAAGATTGTGCTCATAGGGATGATGTGCATTTGCTTCCTTTTGGGAATTTACAGCCTGCTCAGCCCTGTCCTCCCTGTTCTGGTAACCTAAACAAAGGCCCTTATGAAGTTGTATGCAATTTTCGGTAGCTTTTAGCCAGTTTCCACATAAAGGGAAAATAAATAATACAATTTGCATCTTATAAACCTGCGGTGGGCAATCTTACCCAGAAAGGGCCAATGTGTATGTGGGTTTTCGCTGCAGCTCCCTAATTAGAGGATTGATTTGCTGAAGAGTCCTCACACCTGGGTTTCAACAGCTGACCTGAAGGATATCCCAAAAACCTGCGTACACACCAGCCCATTGTGGATAAGATTGCCCACCCCTGTTTAAACACTGCTTTTAACATGGGTGATTAACAGCAGGTTTGTAGCGAATGTTTTTATGCATGCCCGTGTTACATCTCTGTTGTGGAATTGTTTTAATAAGCCTCCGTCTCCGTGAGAATGACATCTGCTCTGCGCCTTTCCTGGCCAGTTATTCCATTTAGAGGATATATAGTTGTGGGGTTTTTCCTTTTCAACTGCTGCTGGTTTCCACAAGTTTTTGGAAATGGTAAGCAGTATGGTGCTCGTGAACGCCGTAGCTCATCTAACAGAGCTGCGTTTCTGTAACTAGCCCAGGGAGAGGCCGAATCCACCCCAGCAGAGACTGCAGCTTTTGAGCTGGTTTCTTCCCAATCCGCGATTGAGGAGGCATTTCGACAAGCTGGTATGCTGTGCCCGGCTGGATCAGGGTTGTAACTGGCCTTGATGCATGGCACCCAGACATGCGTGAGCCATTATTTACCAAGCAAGAGGAAGAAATTTGTGTCTCCTGTTGGGTTAAAGCTGTACAAGTAAGCTGACATGACAGGGTTTGGGAGTCCAGCTCACGATTGTTATGTTGTATTAAGTTTCCATTTACATGTTGTATCACTGTGACTAAGTAACACAGAGCAGCAATGCTCCTAGATATGAGTGTGACAGCTTGGGTGACGAGTGCAAAATGCCCTAGCGGGGCCTTCCAGTCTGCCCACAGCTTTGTCTTTGCTTAGCCCTAAAAAAGTGATGTTAGCCTCAGTTACTCCTTAAGGCTCACATCACTGCCCTATGCCGGTTAGTTTTGCTGAACGTCACTGGCAGCAGATTAAATAAGCTGATATATTAGTATATTCTACTAAAAACAGAAGACGGACCAGTCGTGAGGTGCCGCTCGGAGGCGGGAAAGATGGAAAGGGGGGTATTTTAGCCATCAGACAGATGCCCTGGACGTGGAGTCAGAGTCTGGACTTAGCTCAGCATTCCTGCGATATGTCCATATTTGGTGAACAGCAGAAGGCTCCTAGTGGCTGCTCTTTATGCTCTGAGAACATCAGCCCCCCCAGAAAACCACATGGCGATGCGAAAAATGCCGGAGATTTACATTCCACAGGCTGTCTGCCGTCGGATACGTTTCTGTGAGCCGAACGGGATTATATAAAATGTAAGGGAACGTAGTTGGCAGGGCAGCCGCAGTTTGTGCATTGAGAGAGCCGCTGCGTCCGCTCCCCATCCATCGTGCCGACGCACCACAGATCCCGGCCTGCTAACAGGTCTGCCGCGTACGACACTCACCACCAGGTGTTGACCGTATCGCTTTATGGCTAATAGAGATTCTTCTGAAAGGCCGAGTGCAACTGGGTCGGAAATGCCGACTGTCACTGACTGTCAGGGCCGTTTCGATTGTAAGCCACATGTGTCAAGGCACACTGGGGGGGGGGGGGGGTGAGTCAGAAACATATGCATATATAAAAATATATTCTGTGTGTCCGTTATGTGGTTCTTGGGTGTGCCATGGGTGTGTGGTTCTGATTACAGGGCGGGATTCAGGTTGTTGCTGTTCAGTCCACATTTTTGATAGTTTAAATACTGCAAATCTAAATCCCTCACTGGTGTCCTGGTAACAAGACCTTGACAGACAGCTGTTTGTGAGAGAATTATGGTTAATTTGTGGTAGAGATGCACTGATCCAATATTCAGATCCGTATCGGTGCCGATCGAGACCTATTAGACATATCAGGTATCAGCCATATGTGACGATCCACGTCCGATACTTACATACTTTAGTTTTCAGCAGTCTAAAAAGATAGCTCCTATTTCTTGTTAAATCCATTTTGTACCATCAATTGCATGACAGCTCTTTCCCATTTTAGATGTGTTTTTTTGCGGCATTCAAGCTGAATGCTAATACTGCCACTCAGTCTATTTGCCACTCGGTGGGTGTGAGCGCAGTGACTTCCGCCTGCTGTGACGTCATGCGCTTACGCTTTGCAGTACGGGGAATGTAGGAGGGAGTAAGAACATCAGATAAAGTGTCAGTCTGGGAGTATTTTACATTTTTAACAACAACTAGTAGCACAGCAATTTTCAATCTTTGTAAAACACAGGTAAGTCGCTAGCTTGGGCTGTTTTGCGCACTCACTACAGCTTGTGATACACGAGGGGCTGCTATCACAATGAAGTATTAGTGATGCTGTTTCCAATGGGAGAAAAATTGTGGGATATTTAAGGATTCGGCATTTACATGTACTTGCTTGGAAGATATTCAAATTGAACTGCAAATGCCTCAAACGCTTTAAACAAGATGTACAAACTAGGTGGTTATATTAGTATTTATACTTTATATTTACACATTTATTATAATAAAGTAAAAAGAGCTCTTGTATTGGAATCGGTATCGACAGGACCTGAAAAAATGTGGATCGGGCCATCCATAATTTGTGGCTTATTTCTGTTTTCAGAGCTGTCATGGAAATTGATGGTCCTACCTGACAATTGGTTATTTAAATAAATGTTAAATATTATATAAACTGTCAATGATGTACTAATAATCCTGATGCTATGATAAAGTCAATATGATATAAAAATCAAAGAACTGTGAATTAATAAAATTGGGAGGTTTAGACTTTTACGTTTTTACATTGTTTACATTTTTTGTATGTGAGATCAGCACCTCATTTTGCCTGTGGACCCTGGATTGTCTTCCACTGTTCAATGATAGCTTCTGTTAAGTGTTAAATGTGCGTGTTCATAATCAGGGAAATCTGAAGGCCGCTGTGTTCAGTTACTGTGCTAGAAGGTAAAATTTGTTCAACAAATGCAGCGTTAATATGCTTATTATGAACCCAAGGAGCAGCTGCAAATGAAATTGTTAGGTTGGCAGTTGTTTTCCCTTTTTTTTTTTTGTAAATTTACTTGAACTTAACTTCATGACAGGTACACAGAATATGTCATAAAGGTGCATCTCAAACCTGTCAGTTGAAGCTCCTAATTATGCAATAGCCAATGGTCCCTGAGGGGTAACACTGAGATCAGAACACTTTTTAAGAGTCACCCGATCTTCGGTCTGTTAACCCTGACCTGTCTGGAGGGTTTGATTGTACGTGACAGTTCCACATATCGCCACATATGAAAAGTGTCTCTTCAGGCTTGACCCTGAGCATCTAAAATCTCTTAAACTGTTGAATTTGAATTCTAGATTTTTTTTAGTTGTTCATAGAAAAATATTTGCAAATTTTCTAATTAACGTGTTGTGATTGTATATAAGCAAACACAGGAGGTACAGAATGTACTCTACAGTAAGTAATTTTGCTCAGGGCAGTGTTCCTTTGTTATGTTCCCAGTTAATATTGAAGTGTTGTGCTTTTTATGTAAAATGCGTTAATGATTTGCAGTGACTATAGACATAGTGTTTGAATGTGCTGGGTGATCTGCGGAAGAGAGAGGTAGGCTTATACATTACAAGGTGGGTTACAGGTGAACTCTTTGGCCACAGGGAATGATTGGAGCTTCTCCCATTCCCCAATGTTGGAAAAACAATTTGTCACTGTAGGAAAGGTGCGTTTGAATGGAAGCAGAAACGGCAGATCTGAATACTAAAATTAACCCATAACAGAAAGCAGAAGTGTTTAGTCTGACTTGTGGAAGCCAGTAAGGAAAAAGAACCAGTGTGAGGCATCTGTAGCTCATGTCAGCAATATGCTCTGTAAATGCAGATCTCTAATGATGCATACAGCAAAAGGAACTGCAGGAACAGGATTTGTCTTTACCGCATCTAAAGATGTACATATGATGTTTCATTCATGATAAAATTAGACCGTTTCATCATGAAGGGGCTTTGTAGTAGAAGGATCTGCCCTCACTTGGCATGTTTCAGTTTCTTTGTGGATTAATAGAAAAGAAACCAAGTTTAATTAACAAGTTAAAGGTCTTTTCTTTCTAATGAAGTCCTATATGTGTCATTTAGAAGCACAGCTGTCTATTACACCTACTTTGCAGACTCAGTTTACAACACAACACAGTTCCATCCTCAAGTCATCAACCTTAATGTGTGATGAGGTCTTTTTTTAAGGCTTGCATACTTTTTTAATTTAGGAAGCAGTGCCTCTACGCCTGTGTGAGTATTCCTATTATCTCTGGTATAAATAGCTTATTATAAAAAGGCTTGGCAATTCACAGATATGGGATATGATTCAGCTGATGGCTGTTGAGTCAATGATATGGATGGTAAGAATGGCAATAACTTGATAGTTGAAGAACTTGATGTCATCTCCACTTGTGGTTTGTTTACAAACTCCCTGGGTGTGACAGAAGGACAAATGCACAAGCCTTAGTTCAGAAAGGCTGGTCATTTTATTTAACTTAAGATGTTTTATAAGTGCCTTCTGCTATTTGAAATTGGATACTTGTTAATGAGATCACCCACATAAATGCTTTTCTGCGTTAATATTTTAAACCTGAACGTGCCATTTCAGGCATGTGAGCTGTCCCAGTTTCTGGATTTCTTCCGTTTATTAATGACACAGTAATTGCCGTATTTGGCAGTGCCCGTAGTTTAATAAGCGACATCAGCAAGATCGCCATAAAAGGCATCAGGAAAGAGCACCTGCTTTGCATCTAGCAGCTGCCCGATATCAGTGGAAGAAGAATCAGCCCTGTACTGGAGAAGCTCCTGCGAAGTATATGAGAGTGTGAGATAAGGGTAGAGTGTCTGGCTTCATAATATACCTGCTGCGTTCAGTTTGTGGGGAATGTGTTTGCTGTGCTGTGATTAATCATCATTTATAGAACATTCATCTTAATGAAAATGGAGTGTGTGATGAGATGTGTACTCATTATGATGTGCTGGTGGCTTTTATTTACGTTTTTAAATGTTTCTTAGTTTCTCAATGTTTCCCTGCCCTTCAGTCGGTACGATGCACTGATGCGCCACACAGCTGGTTTAATCTGTCACTCTCGCAGACTTACAAAAGCGGCTTGAGTCTGGCTCTCTGCCTCTGTCTTCCCTTTTGGTCAGCAAGGCATAAACCGAAGGATTTTCCCAGTTGCCAGGCACAATTTTGGTAACCAAGCAGTTGTCTTTCAGTAGGGTTAGACTAAAACAGTTACAGAGCAGTTTATTGCTTTTGCTTTATATCTTCTGAATTTTAAAGGGGAAATCTACTGAAATTGAATTTTTGTATCTCATGTTTACTTTGGAAGGGATGTGCCTATTAAGAGTCTATTGGGAAGAAAAAACCTTAAAATGCCCTCTGGCTGATTTGTTTGTTGGAGCTTTAAAAGACCGCTTCACACACGCATCACAAATATGCAGCTCTCTTAACTTTTGTTGTGTGCATTTTCCCTCTTTTGTTGTTTTGAAATAAACGTTTTTGTTCTTTGTCACGGAGGCTCACTCAGTTAAGCACAGGAAATGGTATAAATTCTCGATTCCAGTGCCATATCAGTTCAAAAGTTCTCCTTCGCTCAATCTGTAAGTAGAATCTTCACAAACCTAGTTTCAGACTTCAGACTAATAAATAAAATTTTCAGTTGCATACATCCCAAGAGCATGTAATATAATTTCTCAGGATATTTTGGAATTGAGCATGGTATCATTCGCTTGGCATTTCTCCATTTCCTGCCTTTTCGGTGACCTAATTTATACTGAAAAGTGGTTCTCTTATGAAGAAAAATATTGCGCTGAAATCTGAGTTGGCAGATTTGCATCAAAAACTTTATTCCTAGCCAATTTGCAATATAAATGTAGCATTTGCCACTTTGCTGCATGCACATTTTATTAACTGTCCAATTCAGCTCGCTGAGTTTAACAATTGGAGTTCTGGTTTTCAGTGCTAGTTAACACAAGGGACAGCTAATAGTTTTAGCTGTATAACATTCTGTCTAGTACACATGTACTTGCGCCCTACAATGACGACCAATCTGCAATCACGTTAAATAAGGGTTTATTTTTAACTGGGTAAATAAAGGTTTCCCTTCTCACAATTCTGGGCGCACCTCTGCGTTTCCTGACCTTAATGAGCCTGCTGAAGAGTATCTGGTAGCTTCCATGAGGCCGTCCATCGCCGTCACGGCAGTGGGGCGCAGCCAGTGGCGAGCAGCCAAGTCCGGCTCGGCCCTATTGTCCACGGTAAACAAAGCCGAGAGACGCACTCCCTTCTCCAGCACCACGGCCCCCTGCCCAAAGTTCCCCTTCTCCCCAGCATTTCCTGTGCCGTGTGCGTGTTTCTCTTCCTCGGCCGCTAGGCCGCTGGCTTTAAATAGTCTGCTTTCGCGACACGCTTTCATAATGCCGGAGTTTCAGCGATGCCGTTCAAATGCGGCACTCGAAGAGCCGACCTGGGACGGCGTCTCATCAGCTCGGGGGTCTGCTGGTTACAGAGGCGTCAGACCTACTGCTTTCCCCTTAATGCGCTTCGGAAATTGGAGCGATGAGACTTCAAATGGCACTTTGGTATCAGTGTGGAGCATAATTGCGCTTGTCTTTTCGTCTGGCATTTAATCATGGGAACCAGGAGAGTTATTGATGACTGAAAGGAGGCTGCAGCCACTTCGGGGAGTGATTCTGTGATCTGTGTGCTTTTGCTTTTTAGAGCAAACAGTTTGATATTGAATGGGATTCTTTTATGGGGAAATTGCAGTGACATAATTTTTCTCCATTGTTTTTTGCTGTTATGTAGAAGATGACATATATAACAGTGTTACATTTTTCTTTGCTCTCTGTGAGACACATTCATGCAACAGAAGCCTTCTAACCATCCCTTGTGTTCATCACCCTCATCTTCTGGTGGCCCCCTATTTAAAGCCGTTTGACTTTGTATTCCTCCCCCCAGCAGTCTCCAGGTCACTTGCCCCCAGCCCCTCAGGTCACCCAAGCTTCTCTGTCTCCTCAGCCAAGCACCTTGCCCCAAGGAACTGTGAATATGAACCAGTGCATAGACGTGATTGACGCCGAGGCCAAGACAGGCCAGAAGAACGCCTTGTGTATCATCACACCAGAGCAGGAGTACTTCATCCGGGGGGAGAACAAGGAGATCATCAACGGGTACGGCCAGATCCCTGGTAACGGGACACCGCAGCCCACGTATCTGAGCATGGCGCTGTTTACGCCGCTCCGACTGAGCGCTCGCTGATTCTCTGCCAGCTATGCGATCTGTCAGCTGTTAGGGCTCGAAGTGCTTTCAGATGTAGCGGCACAGCTGGAGCGGCTGTGGGGGACTCGGGGGTGGGGGGGTGTGGGGGGGTCTTCAGGCTGCTCCCACTCAGGCACGCTTGTACGTCCGGCCCCTCCGCATTGGTTCAGGAGACTCTGCTGTGCGCTGTCCTCTCGCCAGGTGGAGTGAGCAGCTGGCGGTCTACCCAAGGACAAACAAGCAGAACCAGAAGAAGAAACGCAAAGTGGAGCCCACAACTTCCCAGGTTAATTCCATTCCCATCATCATCATTTCAGCGATACTTTATCCTTAATTATTAGTAGTACTAATTATTATGGGCTGCTATGTGAGGGGTAGGCCTCTATGCTCGTAGTGGGAAGGGTGCCGAATTCAAACCCTGTGGCCAGTAGACTGGTGCCGTCAATGGCCCCCTGAGCAAGGCCCTCAAATACTGGGACACTGGCTGCCCCTGTGCTCCGATTTCATCTGTATATGTGTCCCAATGTCTCATGGAGAGCAAGACGGGATAGACGAAAATCACCTACTTTCCCCATGGGGATGAATAAAGTATCACTTCCATTTCCTCGTTTCCCAGTAATTATGTAAATTCTATAGGGCCGTAGTAAAGTCTTAAGCATTCTTTCTAATTACTTTCTGGAACTTCTCCAGTTTAAAGTGACTGCCAACAGCTGGTGGTATATGGTTCAGATTTAGTCCTGTTTCAGTCGTGCCGAGTCCATTAAATGTTGCGTGCCGTTCCGTTTCAGGAGCCCGGCCCTGCAAAGGTGCCCGTTACGGGTATGGGGATCCCAGAGGCCGAGAAGGTTCCGGATTCCAGGTCCATCATATGGCAGGAAGAGCTCCACAGCAGGGAGGCGGAAGCGGGTCCGGTCTGGGCCCCGGCGGAGGTCGCTCCCCTCGGCTCTCCGTCGGCCCACGCAGGTATGGAGGAAGCGGCACCGCTGTCGTGTGCTTTCAAGTCTGACCGGCTGGCTTCCTCTTCCTGTTAAGTAGCAGCTTGCTGCGTTTGCTGCAGGTGGCGCAGTAAGAGCTAAGCATGGCATTAGAATAATGTTTGGGGGAGCAGTGTCTCAGACACATAGAAAAACAAGAGGCTTGAATGTCTGGATTTCCTGTTCAGTTATCCACTCACTTCTTTTTCAGGTCTGTATTGTTTGTATTATAATAAACACATGCTGAGTTTTATTGTTTGCTTGCTAATCTTATTCTCAACCAGGCTTTAGGTGTCTTGGGAAGAGGACAGGGCTGAACGGTTATTCGTTTTGTTTGCACTTAATTGAAGGAGGGATTTGCACTTGGTTTTCAAAAGGCGGATATATTGTTTATAATTTAGCATCCGTTATCCACCTAAGCTTAGCACAGTCATCCTTTTCGCGTGGGATTCTGCACCGTACCGTAGAAATTCAGGTGGAGCTTTCTTAACCAAATGTGTCAGCAGCTGGCCTTGGTAAACATGCATAATAAACGCTGCCCAGTGCTGCCCCGCTCTCTGAAAAGCAGCTGTCACTAGTACCAAAAGCAACTCTGCGTTCCTATGCCTGATCAGTTTCTGAAATTCAGTTTGTTTCCATAACACAAGAGAATTTTAACTCTCGCCTTCTTTTTTTTTTATGAAATGGGTGTTCCCTCAAACACAAACAGCGCTTTGTTCCAGCCGCTCCACTGATTCCACAGTTCAGGATGGATGGTTATAAAAAACCCGAGCGTGCAAATGGCCTGCGGAGCACTCAGCCTAAAACAGTCGTTCCTCGTCTGGGGGAATCGTGCTTGGCAGGTGTCTGTTCCACCTTCAGGATCGGCCTTTAAACGTGACATTTAGAGTGCAAATATGTCCCATGGAAGCGCTTCATGGTATATGGGGGGTCCAGTTTGAGCATCGAATGCCTGCTCGGGTGCCAGGAAGCCACTGTTTTGGGTCGAAGTGCTCTGCTGTGTGATGGCAGTGATGGGCCCTGGGCTAAGAGAAGCTGAACTAGGCCAATATTCAGGACAACTTTGCCAAAATTGGTAGTACAGCGTAAAGCCGACGCTCCCCCCCCCCCCCCCCCCCCCCCCCCCCCCAAACGCTTATTACTTCAAATAGCCTTTTGGATGTCTGCTGTTGGTTGGCTTCAGCACCGGTGGAATACTTGGACAGTTTAATCATTTGCGATTAGCACGAGTTCTCTATGTACTCGCCAGTTACGTCCAGGAGTTACGGGCCGTGTGGCACTGTAGCGGGAAAGTGTTTGCAAATGTGTGTTCGTGGATATGTTTACCTGGGTGGAGTTCATCTGTGCCCCCGAAGGTTTGTGGTTCAGCAGTGCTGGAGGCCACTGACTCGTAGAGCTATGCTGGTCATTTGGGCTGGTCCATGATTCTTGGAAATGGACACAGAATCTGTATGGATGATGAGTCTTTATACTCATGCGGATCTGAATTTAGGATACGGACCTTGTTGTTAGAGTCGTTTTGTACCTCTTCATTCTCTGTTTCTCCTCCCAACAGGCGCTGAGGTGACGCCTTTGGACCTGATCTCGGACCAAGGCTCTGTCAATGGCGACGAAGTGGACCGAGCGGGACTCGTATTCCACGCGTCCCCTCCACAACCCCCCTTGGACGTCCTGTCCCCGACAGGAAGCTCGTCCAGCCGGAACAGCGGCGAGCTGGGGGGTGTGCCGCGGTGTCTGTCTCCAGCCCCGAGCGACCCCTTCCCCTCAGGCCCCGGCCTGCTCTCCAACGGCTCCCACATGAGCGGCTCCATGAGCTCGCTGGACTCGGACACCAGTGGCAGCACCGTGGCCAGTGCCGACAGCCACCCGGCCGAATCGCCAGGCCGTGGGCTGCGCGCGCCAGGCCCCTATGATGCGCCGCGCTCTCGCCGGCAAGAGGCAGAAGCCCGCAAGGCAGAGAAACGTGGTCGGGAACGCAGCCCTGACAGGAAGGCCGTACCGCGGCTCCGCAGCCCCGAGAGGAGGTGAGCCCCCAGGGTGCTGGAAGGCCTCGGGGTGCAGCATGCCAACCCCATAAGCTACAAGAAGCTCGAATGAAGCCGGTTACCGAAAGTTACACGGTGGCTTAATGACTTAATTAACGGCAACAGAATGTGAATGGTTTATGTGTTACGTGAGTGTGGTTTGTTTTCCAGCAAGATATTTTCTCGATAGTAATTATTGTCTTGGTAGGTTTGCTAAAATTCTCCTTGGTGTTTTGGCTGCCATCTCCTGCATAAACTGAAAGGTATAATGAAGGGACGTCATGGTCGAGCCAGTCTGGGGGGTGAGGGGGGGCGGGGGGGGGGGCTTTCTCCCTTTCCTGCGATGCATCCAAACGGCAAATTCCTTCAGCTGTGACTGTAAGTGGGTTTTGTTTGTAACGACTTGATTTGTGTTCGTTTAGCCGTCCGGTGCCCCAGCAGCTTGTAGAGCAGCAAGTCGTCATGTGACAGAAATACCTCGCTCTGCAGTCTTGCTGGCCTTATAAGGAGGACAGCCACTGCCGCAAGTTCCCCATATAAGGGCAAAATTCAAAAAGAGCCACTTAATATTTCCAGCTGGCTCCCACTGTTCTAAATTCTTCTTTTCGGCAAAAACGAGGGAAAAGTGATCATCAAAGAAGGGCTCTAAGTTTGTCTCATTCCCAACGCAGAGATTCACGTGATGCCTAACCGCAAGCATCCAGGCAAATAAATATAATGATGAATGACGTATTTAATAGGGATTTCTGCGTTTACAAAATGTAATCAAATTGCGTTGCATTAATACAGTAACATCAGCCTAGTTGTATAGGAGTATATTCTGCATACTCTCTTTGTCACTTGCCCTTAATTGATAGTCTTTTCTGTCCAAGGTCAGTTTTTACTGGTGATTAATTGGTAGGTCTTTTTTATTGTTTTTTTTAGTCGCTCAAATGTGATAGAGAAGCTGGAGGCCCTGGAGCTGGAGAATGCAGAGAAGATGGAGGTGGAGGAGGGTGTCCGCGGTTCCTCGAGGCAGGGCCGCAGCCAGACCCGCCGCTTTCAGAGGGAGGTGCGTCCCCACGCCGTCCGCCGTGCCGTGTCCCTCACCTCTGTTTTTCTTCTCAGTTTCTTTGTGAATCCCCCCCCACCTCCCCATTTTTACAGGCCAACTAATCCCATAATAGTTATCTCTATCAACGCCTAGTTCCCATGCCAACTCAAGCGAAGAACTGAGACACCTGTGATGGGTTTGGGAGACAGAGCTGCTGTTTTCTGTAGATTGAGTGTGGGAATGGGATGCAGCTGGGAAGCTGACAGAAATGGGAGATTATTTCCATTCTCTGGGACATTCAGGATCAAACCCGCTGCTCTGCATGGAAGACAACCAGCTTTGACCTGTATGCCAGGAGCATGTTGTTCTTAATCACAGATCATTCCTGAGTGCCTGAACGCTAAAGAACTGCGTCTGTAATAGAACAGAAAGAGCTCGCCGTTGGTCTTTGTGCAACCGGAATTGACAGATAATGGGACTCGTGCTCAATGTCAGAGCCGTTATGTTCACTGGAATCAGTCGCAAGTCACGGTGTGCCACACACAATTACAAATGGCATGGCATGTTCGAAACCCTGTTTGGCATAAAGATGAAACGTACAGCTGTTTGTCATTAAGTATAATTTGAAAAACTTCATGATTTATGATGTCATTGATTGACATGGGGCGGCTGCTGGATCTTCTAATATGCCAAACTAGAAAAAGTATTCAGAACTATTTTATTAATGGCATATAGTTTATTTTGAATGTGTCAAGATTCAGAGCTTTCATCAACAACAAACTGTAAGTAAATAGAAATATTTCAGTTGTGGTTTGTAGCTGCTGATCACGACACTGGTTTGTAGAGTGGCTTCTCTGAATGCACGACTCATCTACCCTTGAAGTGATTCTCAAAATAAAAGTAGGCCCTACCCAGTAGTATATATAGCTTTATCCAATATAGATAGGTGTCCCTAATAAAGTGGCTGCTGAATGTGTATTAGATGCAGCTACTGGCAGATGCCACTGCTGCAGTGTTTTCAGTGGCAGAGCCACATTTGATCCATCACCTTTGGTGTTTACTGCAGTCCAGATTTAAACCTCCTGATAGAAATAAGTTGCAATGCAGAAATCATAGTCCAGGCCTTAAATTTCATTGCCTCTGGCGAGTTCTGCCCTCCTGCTTGTGCTTTTGTTTTGCTCAGGCTGGAGGCTGTAGGCTGTAGGCTGTAGGTTGTAGGCTGGAGGTTGAAGGTGTGCGCTGAATTCATTTCCATTTGACCATTCTGCAGCTGGATTCCCCAGATGATTCCACTTCCCCTTCCCACCCCATCCTGGGGAAAGCACTTCCTCAGGAGCCAAAATAACAGGCCTTTCGTGTTGGTGCTCGTGCTCATGTCCGAGTCCCAGGACTTCACTCTGGCCCGGGTTTGGGTTACACGACAGTGCTGCCCTGGATGGAAATTTCCGGAACTTTTGCCCGCCTCCATGGGCCTAAACGGTTCAAAAAGAGGGTAGACTTATACATTCATACAAGTCTAAAAAACAAAGCGCTTTATTCGTTTTAACTATGGTTCACCACAAGGCACCTCAAGACAGTTCTCATGACATTTTCTAAAAGATGTTATCTGTCCTACTGCGTTTTGTTTCCTTTGGCTTGGAGCTCCGCTCTCGGCGGCGGGAACACAAAGGTCACGCATGGCCCCAAGGCTCACGGGTCCCTTCTGTTTATTTTGACTGTATGGCTAAAAAAAAAAGGGAACGCAGCGGAGCAGGAAGGTGACGCGGCGCCTGGTCATGGACCCCAGGGCGGCCCGCTAGGCTGCACTCTGTCCGTTTTGGCTCGCCGTTGCTCTCAAAATCCATATTTCTCTTTTTGCGATGTTGAAGAAAGGTCCTATTATACTTGAGTCGACCTGGCAGTGTGCAGGAGAGCTGCAGCGTAACATGAGTCTGACCATGCAGGGGAAAGTGAGGAGCCGCTTGTGATGCGTGGGGACTGAAGGTTTGGGGGGGGGGCATTAGGTCTCTGACCAAGCCGGTCCATGGACCGCACCAGCTTCCGGTGCTTTCGACGCCTCATAAATCTCTCTCTCAAAAACATTTCTGTCTGCACATCAGCCAGAGGGGTTTAACATGGTGTTCGGTCTTTTTAGAGCCGACCTGAACTGTCGTTTTAAGGGAACGGTTTGCAAAAACGCTCTGGAAGTGTCGAGGATCTGTAGGAAAGAGGTAAATTTACTTTAGAGAAGAGTACCTCGAATTTCCTTGCCATTGACTGGCAGATATCCCGGCTCTGGTCTGCAGGGGCTCATGGACACAAAGACAAACTCATTTCCTCCATTTCCTGGAAATGTCAGGTAGCTGTCCTGTTCCCCTCTGGTGAAAAAGCAGCTGTGTGTTCGTAGCTCGGGCTCAAATCGGCCCCATTGGGTTGCTGAAACACGTAACACCCCATAACCTGTTTTGCATTGTTGACTCAGGAAGGTAATCCTGTACAAATCCTCCTCACTGCTTTCCCTGCTGTTTGGGCTGTAATGTTTTTGCTTCTGTTTAATGACAGTGGAAGAGGCATTACCCTCAATACATGTTGAAGCATGTTGAAGCTTGCGGGAGCTGACACAGGAGCTGCAGCTTGGTCACAGGCACGTGTGCGTTTGTGTTTCAGGAGGACAGACCTGACTTGCCGCAAGGCCTAGATTTTACCCGCTCGACCATCCCACCTCTAAGGAGAGCCAAGTCCCTTGACCGACGGACTACAGAATCTGTCATGACTGTAAGTGCTCTTTATGTGCACCTTTGTAATTACAGTTCAAAAATCAGGGCACTCTGTCATTGTCCTTTTGAATTAAATGAATGCAATTCTTTACATTAGATGACCAAACCTAAACCCTCGTTCACACAGGTATAACTCACAAGATGGGTCTTTTCAGCAGACTGACTTTGCCTTTTTCTCCATGTTAACGATACATTAAAACTGTGTGAAAAATTGTGGTCGGCGTATCATTTTCCCCTTTGGAGGAAGGCTTAAGAGCTGTTTGTGAACAGGCTATAAAAGAAACGAGTCAGCTCAGCTAATCAAAGACCAAGAACACCTTGAGCAAGGCATCATTTTCTTTTATTTATTTATTTGGGTGAAAGGTAGCGTTAAGCTACAGAAATTGGTCTCGGAAAGACTTGACCATTCCAGGGGACCTGGTGGTTCTTCCTGAGCTTTTTTCCTGTAGCAGCACCATGCTAACAGTCACATGGCTTCATGTCCAAGGTTCTCCTAAGTAACGCCAATTGCTGAAGACTTCCAGTCACTGTTTAGAACAGTACGACTCTGCGTACGTCGAAAGTAGGTCAGCACTTGATTAAACTGACAAAAGACCTTAATTGTAGTCTTCAAAAGAGTTCAGAAAGTTGTCTGTCTTTTATTTTCTCCAACATTAATCCTCCTCTCACCCTACTTATGCATTCCTGTGGCATCTGTTCGTTCTGTGAGAGCGTGGACGTCCTGTGTACAGCCTCCGCGGCGCTGGGGGTAGCACACGCCCCTCTTCCGCTACCCAGGTCATCCTCATGTCATCCCTGTCCTGCCTGTGGTTTCACTACTCCACGGTTTTACTGCCATATGTTTTGCGTGTGCCAGTGTGTGCGTGCGCCCACACGCGTTTCCACTTGTGTGTATGGTCACGTTTGTCTCACAGCAGCATCTCCAGGGCACCTCAATGCAAATGCCTGAGTTGTGAGTGATGATCCCACAGTGTGGACCCACGCTAGAACCAAGATGTTAAGCACTTAACTCCAGTTTTTTAAGATGCAGAGAAGCCACTGATTTAACTTGTCTCACTTATGCATATTTCAGTCATGGCATAAACAAGGGTGGGGAAGTGTGATTAACTTTTTTTTTTTGTTTGTTTTGTTCTTAAGATGGTACTGTTTAGTTCTTTGTTGTAATTTGTCTGCTGTAGTCTGTTGTAGCAGCAGGGTGCTAATGAAGATGCAAATGTTATAGCTCGGTGTGCGAGTTTGCCAGTGTTTGTACGTGTGCCTAATGTGGCATGACGAGTTTTTTTCCCTTTGTGATTAAACAGAACTGCTGAATGGTGTGAGATACCAAGATAAAGACATGACTTGATATAACCTGTAACCTAAATAACTTGGATGGACCAGTTTCTCATTTTGTTTTTTTTCCCCCTTTTCAGCCAGACTTACTGAATTTCAAAAAAGGTTGGATGGTGAAACTTGATGAGCAGGGACAGGTAGGTTACAGCAAGGACGCCTACGAAAAATGCTGAAAAACCCATTTCAGTAAATTTTTCCTGTATGATCCCCAATGGTGAAAATGAAGTATATTTCAATACCACATTTTAAAAGACTTGTGCAATTCCCATCATCCTCATCGATGAAGCAGTAAATGGTTTTACTGCTCTTTTGTGGCCTACAGTCCGTGCCAGTCTCAGGGTGGAGTTTCATATCCATGCATCCCTGTGGCAGTTTACATGGTTTTTCCAAACAATGTTGCAATACATGTGATTGTATCATTTGTAACCAGCTGCCAACATAATTAGATATTTAACATTAAAATTACAATGCACAGAATTTCATCCTAAATGCAGCTAAGTCAGCACATTTGTTAATACCATGTCTGATTTTGTTTAAGGAACAATCTGTGTTTACTTTGGCGTGCTCCACAAGTCTTGTAAAAATGACACACTTTGCACTGTGTATCTTACGAAAGAGCTGCTCACACTCAAATGAGTGATGGTCGCTAAATGACGTCATGAAAGACCTTTTGGTCGCCTTCTCAGAGCCTGTCAGCTTGTGATTACAGAAACGTTTCCTCGTGAGCAAACTGCTGTTGTGTGCACTGCAGCCCTGGCTTCTCATTATACATCTGCACCTCTAGTCAGCAGGGTTATGAGTTCTCTGTTGTCTTTAAGACCATTATTGCTTCAAACACTTGAAGGCTGGAATCCACCTCCCCGGTTGCAGGAATAGCAGCCTCTGCATAGTGACTACTTGATAGGGCTAGGTGATATTATATCACGCATGCGCAATAATCACCGCCGGGTCACATGACAGACAAAGCATTTGGCCGGACGCCAGCGTTTCTGTGCTATTTGGACATTAATTTACACCCATAATTTGGTAAGAGGATTAGTAGTATGGCTTAAATATTAATGAGATGCGTTTTGTGATACACAAAAGTTAGTAATCTGTATAAACTTTGTTTCTCAAATTCGATTAGCGGAGCAGCCCGCATAATACATGCAGTATACTATGGTTTGGTATACTACGGTTTGTATACCTTAGTGCAATATGCACTGAAGTCACGGTGAAGAAGAGCAGACATGACATCTTTTAAAAGAGGAGATCTTGTGGATAAACAAGGTAAAAAGACGTCGGTGGTGTGGTGGTACTTTTTGGGCGTCATACAAAGCCTCATATTTTAGCCATACTACTAAACTGCTTAAATCGTGGGCGTAAATAAATGTTCGTATAGCCCCGAAAAGCTGGCGCATGGCCAAATGTTGTGCCTGTCATCTGAAGCCCTGGTGATTATTGCGTTTGCGTGATATGATATCGCCCAGCCCTACTACATGATGTGGCTCAGTAACAGTTAACAGTTGGAAATGAAAGCCAAATGAAGGAATTAAGCAGAAATTTATTTTAGGTGGACAGAAGCACAGCTTTTTTTAAAATGTCTCATTTAGATAGACTTTTTAAAGTACTTTTTCGAAAGGTTCTTGGATTTCATACAGTATAGAAACTGTGGATTTTTAAACCCAATCCTGGCACACTTAATATGGTTTGTAATGAATCACATCCTGAAGCTATGGCATGAATTAATGAAAATAGAACATCTATGTATGTAATAGTTATTCCTGTCTGCCTTTTCATTTATTAATACATATCGAAGTTTTAATGGAAGTTTGTAAAGTCAGTCAGGCTGACACACATCCTGCATGTAGTGGAAATGGGGATGTTTGGGCCGCGGTCCCTCAGAGGGGCCCTTCGTGGTGTGGCCGTCTGAGCTGTTCGTATGTGCAGACAGTGTGCGCTTCAGGGCTTTAAAGCCAAGCGTCCTGCTTTGATGCTAAGGGCTCAATGCTTGAGGGTCAAAGAGAGATGCCTCTGACATTTTCAGTGCCTTTTTCTCTCATATCTCTTTTATCGAGTCAAGGAACATGACCTCTCATTCCCTCGGGGCTTAGATCAGATCAGGTGTGCTGACATCTACCCAGATAGCAGATCTGCGCCAGTCGGGGACGTTTCGCTTTGTACATTTTTATACATTTTGTTTTTGAAAAGCCAGCGATACAGATGATTTGTTTGGTGGCTATGGCATTTCTGAGACGTCATGCATTTTTCATGACGTTTGTCCTTTTACTCATTTAATGCAAAATATCTTCTGCATCATACTGTGGGCATTTATTAGAGGACAAGAACTGTATCCGTGTCTTTCTTCCAAAGACGCGCCCCCCCCCCCCCCCCCCCCCCCCCCCCTTCTGACAATTGAGTCCTTCAAATGCTGTGGGTACTCTGGGGCAAAATGAACCTCTAAAACAGGGTTATTCAACTCATGGTCCTCGAGGTCCGAGCACTGCTGGTTTTCCAGCCTTCCTTTACCTGTCAGTCAGGTGTGAAGCCTCTGACCAATCAGAATCAGTCATTATTAAACAACTACCTGGGAGAACAGAAAACACGGCCTGGATTTGGAATCGAGGTCCAGAGTTGAAGAGCCCTGCTCTAAAAGGATCCCCCATGTGACAGCATGTCTAGGTGCAGTCCTGCCACCATGCTCTTCCAGCCTCAGCTGTCTAGCCAGTTCTGCAGGCTCTCCTGACCTTCTCCGTTCTTATGTGCTCAGATCATACTCTTCATCCGACTGTAGGTGGTATAGTGGCAAAGGCTAATTAAAACCTAAAGAACTGCACCTATCATCACTGACGTTAGACTTCTCTGTCTATGCCTTTTCTTCACCCAACTTACACAATTTCAGAATTAATGTAACGTCACTGATATTTTCTATTTTTCCCCCCTTTTCCCTCTTATAAGTGGAAGAAGTATTGGTTCGTCCTCACTGATCACAGCCTTCGATATTACAAGGATTCCATTGCAGAGGAGGTGATTACCATTCCTTCCTAATTACTGTGTTTGTGCTTCTGTATTGGCACACTACCTTACATACATGAATGCACACAGTATGGCATTCCTCATGAAGTTTTCTTTGTTGTGTTCTTACAGGCCTCTGATCTGGATGGGGAAATAGACTTGACTACTTGTTTTAATGTTACTGAATACCAGGTTCAGAGGAATTATGGCTTCCAGATACACGTAAGAAGAAATAGTTCTGTTTTTTTTTTTTTATTTCACCTTATATAAGTAACAGTGTATCTGTTGACTCTGTATATGGCAGCAGCCTATGTGGAGAAAGTGGAGACAACCTCGCCAGGGATGTATTACAGTATTTCCCATTAGTCTTCCCGTATTTTAAGGCATTAAACACTTTACAAGGACAGTATAACATCAGTCGCATAAACAGTATTATTAAATGTTTGAAAGGCATTGAAAGTTCACCACCTGTTTTACTTTAATCATGCGGTTTTATGTTTATGCAAGAGTTAGTTCTAATTCTATATTATTCCTTTTTGAAAAGTAAAATGGAAAAGGCATAATTATGTACTTTTTAAGAATTTCAATTCATACAATGTCAACTAAAGTAAAATCTCCTTAAGCTTATATGGTGCTAGTTTAAAATCTGTACCTCGCATATATTTTCTGGTTCGTCGTGGGGTGGTGACAGACGGAAGAAGCAGTGTACACGCTGTCCGCCATGACAGCAGGCATACGGCGTAACTGGATACAGGCTGTGATGAAGAACGTCCGGCCCTCCACTGCTCCGGATGTGGCCAGGTCAGTTTACTGCTGTAATGCTTTATATACCACGTATTTCAAGTCAAGTGGCGCTTTATTGTCCTTTCCGCCAAATACAGTTAGTACAGTGCATAGTGAAACGAAGCAACATTTGTTACATAAAACAGGACTACAAAGCTACACAGAATGACAGCAATAAGACAAAACAGTGGCACATGTAGCTGGTTGTGCAGAAATGTGACAGTATAGTAATAAAAGAAAGTGTAAGCGTGACAATGGATTACAAAATGGCACCCTTTGGGTCTGGAGAGGCTGCTGCATGTTACTGCTGCATTTATCATATGCTGCAATTTTTCTCCACCGGGGACCCCCAGACAGTCCACATTTTTGCTCCCCCAGCTCTAAGGCAGCATAAATGAGGTCTATTTGGCAGGGAACTGGGAGGGGGGGGTGCAATCGTGGACTTATCTGGGGGTCCCCGAAGACCATGTTGAGAAACACTGATATATGTATCCCCCACTTTACGAACATTTTCTTTACACCAGTTTGCTTTTACGAAAAAGCTACATCTTTTTGTAACCAAAAGAAATCCAAAGTGAAAAAATGGAGAAAAGTGATAATAATGTTTAGCATTTATCAGCAACCAAATTATAGATATACAGTCATTCACTGCATATAGATGTTATGGTCAACAGACTGCAAAACCAACAGTGGTCCCATAAGCTTATAGCTGAAAAATTCCTTTCGCCTAGCGATGTTGTAGCCGTCATAATGTCATAGTGCGACGCATTACTCGCGTTTGTGTGGTGATGCTGGTGTAAACACACCAACTGTGCTGCCATTCATATAAAAGTACAGCACATACCTATGTACAGTACACAATACTTGATAGTGATGAACCATTATGTAACTGGTTTATGTATTTACTCTACTGTGCTTTTTATCGTTTTTAGGCTATACCATAGCATAGGCGTGTGTAGTAGGTTATGCCAACTAGGTTTGTGTGAGTACAGTCTGATTTTGCAACGGCAAAATCGCCTCAGGGCGCATTTCTTAAAACATATCCCTGTCGTGAAGCAATGCATGACTATAGATTCTAGTAAGTGAAAATATATGATACCTGCATTATTTCTACTTTATATATATATATTTGTATAGCATATTGTGTAGCATATTATTCCTACTTTTTCTACATGATAGTGTTAGATCAGGTTTTATGTATTATTTGGTACGATTCGGCAGGTAATTTTTTTCGGTCTGGAAACGATAGGAACTTTTCCATATAAATTACTTTAGGATAGAGAGGGAAACCTGTAAAGGATATGTACATACACTCCATCCAAGGGCTGCTTTGCTTTAAATATACGGCTGTGTACTTTCAATCAGCCTGACGGACGATCACGGGCCTTGCGGTCCCCTGGAATCCCTGCCAAAGCCCGATGTGACGCAGGATTCCCCCTCGTCCGAGGCCGCCTCCGTTGACCGGGAGCCGGGCAAGAAACGGAGCCGCGTGCGGGAGCGTCGGCGGGAAGGCCGCTCCAAGACGTTCGACTGGGCCGAGTTCCGCCCCATCGCCCAGGTGCTGGCCCAGGAGAGAGTGTGGCAGGCGGACGCCGCGCAGGCCGAGCTCGGAGACCTGGAGCGCAGCCGGAGGCGCGAGGAGCGCAGGAAGAGGTACGAGTCGGTGACGAGCGCCCCGCCGGAACCTGGCCCTGCTGACACCACCAGGATGGACTTCGAGAGCACCGGCAGCACCGGGGACTTGGTCACGCCCTTGTTGGAGCGACAACAGAAGATGCAGGACGAGATTGAACAGAGGTGGCAGCAGGTGGAGCAGACGCCCATTCGGGAAGAGCGTAGGGTACCCCTGTCTATGTCCACGTCGCCTCGAGATAACGGCGAGCTGGAGAAGCTTCTGGAAAGCTACAAGAAAGGGGTGAGTGGCGTAACTCACAATAAAAATAACCCGTGTGAGAGACGGGGGACACTAACATGCCAGTGTCGCGATGTGCGTATTTTTTCTTCCTGACCATGTTTTACTCGTGTTCGGTGGCAGGTAGAAGATCTGAAACGGCAGTTGGACAACTGTCAACAGCAGCTGCTCGAATCTAACCACCAGAAGCTGGAGCTGGAGGTGCAGCTGAAGACCGCCCTGGAGCGTGAGAATCAGATTCGTGCTGGCTATATCTCGCCTGTAAGTCACGAAGGACCGGCCTGTCACTGTTCCTGTCCTACTGATGCAGAGATTGGTCTCATCTTTGGGCCTGGGTGGCATTCCTTTCATTAAACAGTCTTTGCATGTTTGATTTGGTTTGAGGTAAACAAACTGACCATCTTATCATTGAAACTACAAACCAGTTAAAAATAAATGGTTTGCATGAGTAAATTGCATGTTAAGAAACAGGATTTTTTTAAATACATTTTGGCTTCTACTTGTTCATCTCCTCTTTCTGTGTTAGTTATGATGAGCAAGTCATGTTAGCGCCTTTAAAATGTACACTTAATGTACATTTGTTAACATGAGTATATAATGGATATGAAGTGTAACTGGCCGAAGCTGAAAGCATGGTTACCTGGCAACTGCGCTGTTTGGGTGGCTTAAATGTCAAAACAAATGGTGTAAATATATGGATATGATATAGGGATTTGCATGCTGCTGTAATGTTCATGTTTTATTAACAAACTGAAGACCATAAATAACTCCTTTTAACCTGTTGTCAACCGTCCCTTAACACACCGAGCAGAGGGTGTTTTGGGAAGGGTTGTTGCTATCTGCTGTTGAGTAATTTCTGAAACTGAAAGACTGCATGTGAAAATAGATAGTATTGGATGGGTTAAATACGCTGTAAATTACATACCTTTCTTTCAATGATCCATGTATGAAGTGTGTTTTAAAGACCAGTGTAGTACAGTATTAAGTTTTTTTTCCCCCCTTTTTGGTTACAAAAACGTCATATAATGGGTTGAATGCTGTATTTGTATTATTAATTAGCTGAGTTATATGATTCTATGGAAGAGAAGGTTTTAAAACTTTGAATTTATGTGCTTCACTGAATTGCTCAGAGAAATTTTATTGGTTGCTTGCACAAACTTAATTGAAAATATCATCATCATCTAATACAGAGCACTATAAAACCATGAATTTGTAATCACATTCATCCATGTTTTAATTTATGCATACAAACCATTGGTTTCCTTAAAAATAGGTCCCTAATGAGAAAAATCAGTGAGGAATCGTTGAGTTTTCATTGAAACAAGAAAATAAATTTTTTCAACTTTTTGGTGAAATGTGGAAAGTTCAGAACAGAGCAGAGTCTGCCTCCATATTTATGATAAATTTATATTGTGCTACCCATCTACAAGTAAACTACTTGGTACTAATTTTGCATTTCTTACACCATGTTATAACTCTTAACCATTTAATACGCATGCTATGTTGTGATTTACTAACTTCAGCCTTTACGTGCCTTTTTTCCAGTGCTCTAAATTTTTGCCTCTTTTCCTGAAGCTGGAAACATTGCATTTTTTTTTCTTTAAGATTACCATTTCAGACCTTTTGATGTGAGCCAAAGAATTGTAATTTATTTATTGTTGCATTACATCAATGGGAAAAGTAGGAGGATACTAGAAAAGTAATCTACAATACAGTGCGTTTTTCCCCCCAAACTCTACTGAATGTTAACCAACTATTTGGTCCCCTTTTCCAAGCTGGAGCCTCCTTTGGGTCTGGAGGCTGAACTTGAGTCCCAGATGAAGAGACAAGAACTGGTTAGTTCTCAAGCTCAGTCCTTAAAAAAGAAGTACCAAGAAACTAAAGAGCTCCTACATCAGCAAGAACTGAAAAAACGCAACATGCAGGCTCAGCTTGGCCTTTCTATTTCACCCCTTTCCATGACGGAACCTCAAAGCTCAGCCATCTCGCAGGCTCCTTCTGAATCCATCCATGTCAAGACAATCAGCATTTCGCTGCAAGATAATGTGGGAACACTTCAAGAGCTAGAGGACCTGATCTCTGGCAACCCTTTGACTTTGAAGGGCTTGGTGCAGTTGCTGGTCTCCCATAGTAAGGTCTGTCATGAAGATTTCCTACAAAACATTGCGAGCAAAGAACAGAACAATTCAGGGGAAAAGATCAGTTGTCAAAAAGTGTCAGAAAACCTGAAATATCAACAAGAGTTAGAGAATGAGTCATTGAGGAGGAACCTTTCAAGGACATGTGATACTGTGTGTGATTATGATATACGCCTTATGGAAGGCATGCTTGAAAGGGCACAGCGGCAAAATATTGAGAACCTGAAGGGTCCTTATGGACCATTATGCAAGATCGAAGAACACTCTGAAACAGAGATGACTGTGAGAAAGCTATCCCAGAAGGTAGAGTTGCTCACTAGTGAGAACGAAGGGCTGAATCAGCGCTATCAGGAGATAATGAACCAGCTCACTGAAGCTGACAGGGAAATAGAAAGGCTGAAGGAAAAACTCTTAAACCAGCAAGGTGGACAGGAACATCTGCTCGTAGTGGAGAAACTAAACCAAGTCAAAGCCCAGCTTGCGGAGAAGGAGGCCAACTCTGTTGATCATGAGATTTTTGAGAGAGAGCTAAGCAAAAAGTCTCAAAAGCTTCAGGAGACTCTAGTAAAATTAGAAGTCCTAGGAAACAATTTGAAAGAGACAGAACGGAAGCTGCACCTCAAGGAAGCCACGTTGAGTGGTCTGGGCTTCCAGATGGGGAAAGAAAATGACCGTGAGTTGCTCCTTGAAGAGAAGGCTCAGCTCCTTCATCGGCTGGAGACAACAGAGGCACAGCTTTCAGAGTTAGAGAAGAAGCTTCACACTACTGAGCAGTCATGTCAAGATCTTCTGGCCCAGAATGCTGATCTGAGAGGAAAAGTGCATCACCAGGGTTTTTTCGGTGTCCAGGGTGATATTAGTGTGCTGAAAGATAAGGGGAAGGTAGTGAGGAAGTCCGATGGGGGCGGGGAGAGTGTAGTGCATGGGTGTGAAGACACAGGTTTTGAAAGACTTGTTTCTCATGAAAAAAATGTGCAGCAAGTTATAGAGGAGATGAAGATGAAGTCAGAAGTCCTCAGTAAAGTATCAGAAGTACTAGGAAAGATAGATGTGAATGTTGGGGCAGTTCTGAATGAGTTGATGAGTAGTGTGTCTCTTCATACGCCTTCTGATGAGCAGCTTGCAGAAACGAAAGATACCATGACAAGAAAGATCCTGCTAGAAGCAGAGTTCTGGGGAAGGCTGTTGAATATGTTGCTTATCACAGCTCAGTCCAGTGAATCTGAGTTTGCAGATAGTTTTTTACATGATGTGGCAGAGCGCATTTTAGTGGAAAAGAGAATGTTGCTTTTAGCTAATAGACTTTTCACTCAGCCTAAGATTGAACTGCATGCGGTTAACAAAGACTTTGCAAATATCGAAAAGAAGACTGAAGGTAGCAAATATGGAAAGTTTGATATTGAAAATAAATGCATTCTGAATTTGTGCAACTTGCTTGATAACGACACTAATACTCTTGTAAAGAAAGACTTAATGGAGATGCTACAGGGGAAAGTTTTCTTGCTAAACCAAATTATCACGACCCTTCAAGCTTCTGCAAATGAAGAGCTTCAATCATTGGTACTAAGGCTCTGTGACTTAGAGAATCAAGAGAAAGGGTGGTTTGGTTATGTTCAGGATGCTGCGATGGAGGCCCACACGTGCTACTTGTTAAGTAGACTGGATGTTCAACAGCAAAATCGACTGAAAGAAATGCAGCTTCAGGGACCATATGCTGAGCTGGGTTGTCAGCTCTGTGCAGAACTAATGAGGGAGAAAGAAGAGCTCACAGCCAGACTGGAAACCATGCAGAAAGAGATGGCAGATCTCAAAAGCCCCAGGAGCGAAGCAGACAAACCAGTTACACACATCCAGATTGAAGGAGAACCCATAGACTCCTTGGATAAGGCCATTCAGTTGCAGGACATGGTGGCCAAGCATAAGAGAGAGCTTCGGGAGGTGAAGGAAGCCTATGAGCTTGAGGTGGAAAAGCTGAGGCAGGAAGTGGCTAGAGCAGGAGAGACTCTCAGGCTCAGATCGGAGGAGAATGTGAAGGAGATTGACTCGTTGACTGTTTGTATGGAGAACTTGAAGAAAAAGCACGAGACGGAGAGGAAAAGCATGGAAGAGCACTTCAGTAGGGAGATTGACAAGTTAAGGAGCACAATCCCTTCTCAAAGTACTGATGTTGCTGATGGAGACAAGCCTCATATGATGTCATCTCTGAAAGAGCGGATACAGGAGCTGGAGTCCCAGGTCTCCGTCATGACAGAAGAAATGAAGCAGCGTGAAAGCGAAGGTCATGCAACGTCTCTCCGATTGAAATACGAGAAAGACCTGGAAAACCTGAAGGTGGACGTGTTCCTTGTCTGCTTTTGTTTGATGTTGCCGTGTAACTCTCCCTCTCCTTAACCCCTTGACCTTTAATTCCTTGATATAGCTCTGCTTATGTCATCAACATTCTGAAGTGTTGCATGGCATTTAATCCTGTATCTGCATGTGGCCCTTGACGTGGTTCACTGTGTCCAAAGATACCCATTTCACCAATCATACAGTAGTTCTGATTCAACTACTAAAATTGAAAAGATTTTTTTTTTTTTTAAAGCAGCTGACATTATACTCAGATTAGAGAGTGACAAATGTCTTGCACAACTCCTTGAGGTATTAAGTGTTTGTGAAATGGGTAGGACAGCAGTATATATGTATATATATGGACGCTGTCTGAAGAATAGTTAACCCCAATATACAGTACTTTTTTTTAAACCAGATCATCTCAGCGTGATCTGTATAGTATCTATTATGAGTATTCTTGAGCCAAAATAAAAATATCCCCATATATATTTGGAATATTGAAAAACAAGAAAAGGTAATGATACAAAGATGTACTGGGTTTGTCTCTCTTGCTGTTCTCACACTAAATATCCTTGCAGCTTTCCATCTTTGATCTCTAAAACAATTCTCTCTGCCACTAACCTGTACGTTAGTACCTGAAGATGTACATACAAATTTCTCAGAATATGTGAAATGCTTCCGGCTCTTCTGATTTTATTGTGAAATGCAAAGCAAATGTAGCGAATAACTTCACTTCTATGGTAAAGTCCGTGTGATGGCTTTTATACAGAATATATATTTTTTTGTCTTTTCAGTTCCTTTTGTATATGCAAATCTGAATGGTGAGCAGTAATAATCTTAGCTTGCTTCATGACAAAAAAGCAAACTAAAAGCAGCTCCGGTTTTGCTGGTGTCTACATTCAGCTTGTTCTTCACTATTTTATTGTCTGTCGTTAGTGTGGAAAACACATTGCTTAGTGAATTTAAGTCAAGTAAGTTTTGAACTGTAGTTCTCTCTGGTCTAGTTCACCGTGATGAATAGGTTCTTGCAGATTGTGAACTGAACACTTTATACCTTCTCAGCATGTGTGTGTTATGCTTCTGGCAAGTTCAGAAACAGAACTTGGCATCTAACAGCCCAGAATGGGGGTATGGCAAGACAATAGCGTTTCAGTGCCTTTCCTGTTTTTGAATATCAATCCAACAGTATGTGGTGGATCACATATCAAATGCAGTGAATAAAAAAAAACACGCTCAAAAACCTATTAATGGTTAAAGCTCATGAATTGTAGACACCCCCCCCCCTCCACTGGTTTCTTACTCTATTAAGTATAATTTTGTAATAGCGTATTTGAGTATACTTAAATACTGTTTGTTTCACTGTACAGAAAAATAAGATTTATGCTGCGTTTAAGTATTTTGCTTAATACCCCAGTGGGCGATGTGGGAAATTGGTGTGCACGATGAATATTTAAATCTACCTCAGTATCTTGCTCATGAAATGGGATTATTAGCTCTTCCCTCCTTACCTTTTTCGAGGTAAAAAAAAAAATATCCCAAACAATGCACTAAGGTGGTAGGGACATTGGCTCAGTGGGTAGCACTGTTGCCTCACATCTCAAAGTTTGAATCCTGGCTCTAGTCTATGTATGTGAAGTTTGCATGTTCTCCCTATGTTGTGTGGGTGTCTTCCCACCATCCAAAGACAGGCAGGTAGGCTAACTGGCATCTCTAAGTTGTCTGTACAGTGAGCGTGTATAATTGCCCTACAAGGGACTGGTATCTTGTTCAGGGGGTAAGGCAGCTTTGAGTCCCTTTTTTGTTGGCTGCCTGGGATAGGCTGCAGCCCCCCATGTGACCCTGCCAGGATAAGCCATTGGATAATGGATGCCTGGATGCATTTCATCAGCTACACAAATAGCGTTTTTTGTAAGGTTATTTTGAAGAACTGACCAGCCTTCATGTTTAATAGATCCGCATAAAAGTCATATCTGGACAAGCTAAATTAGTGTGTGATGTATCATTTTTAGGCTTAGTGTAATGGGAGGCTCTCATATTTCCGTCAGATCTTATTTTACTTTGACTATCTTTTTTCAGATAAAATTACAGCGAGTATAATTGTAATGTTGTCATTGTTGGGGGGGATCAATGTGATCTTTACGCACATGGGTGTGGCTTCCACTGAAATGTGGGGACAGAAAGCGGCCTGCAGAGCTGCAGTTGAGAGACTGCGCGTGGTACTTAGCTGGGTGAGAATGGACGGCCTTGTGCTTGTTCAGTCAGGTCGAGAGCATGTTGGACAGCATTGTTGATGGGGGGAAGCTGAGCTTAGCACCATTGAAAGGGGAGCGGAAGTGGATTTGGCGTGACGCAGAGGAGAGGCCATTCTTGTGGAAACTTATACTGTACATATAATAGCGAGTATCCCGTTCCCCCGAAACATTGATCTCCGGCTGTCACACCTCTGGTTTCTTCCCAGCGTGGTCGTGGAGAGGGTACCGCATCCGTGCAGCTCCCAGCCTGTTACACTAAGCCAGGCAAATGAAAGACAGGGGTCAGGCATTGAACAAAGTTGGGGGTCAAACCACTACACTTTAAGCTTGTGTGCTTTTATTTTAGTAGCTATTTAAAAAGCTTGCAAACATCCTGGTTGGTCCCTGTCCACATTCTTGAATATAAAAAGGATATTTGCTCAAATCACTTTTAAAGTCTTTGTTTTCCTATGACTCCAGATGGCTTTACCCTTGATATAATTATATCAGTGTCTTTAAACTGCTGCTCTAGATACACACAACTGGAACGTGCTACTGACAATGTATGGGATTGTTCTACTGCTTCTGAAAAAATTGCCGCATCGCAGCCAAGCAGATATGGCATTGACTCACCTTTCCCCGTGTGACATTTTTGTTTTTATTAATACTTTTTAACATTCCTTTAGCTGTTTGTCAGTGGCCCCTCAGTGTTTCGTACAAAGGTGGCAGGAGACTTGTATATGTGGTGTTTTGTGCTGGTCGTTGCTGTTGGTATGAAACAACGAAGTACATTTGTCAGTGTGACGTGGCGGCTGAGCTCCGGAAATGTGCTCCATCCTGCAGGACACCTGTGAGAGAGGCTTTGCCGCTATGGAGGACTCACATCAGAAGGTGATTGATGAGCTTCAGCGCAAGCACCAGCGCGAGCTGGAGAACCTGCAGGAGGAGAAGGAGCGGCTTTTGGCAGAGGAGACAGCCGCCACCATCGCTGGTGAGCGGTGACCGTAGATGTTACAGGGATATAGGATGTCTGTGAAGGGAGCTTTTCTTGTGTTTGGTACAATCTGCCTTAAAGCTTTAGTTTGAAGTACTCTTACATTTTAGCATGTTGATCGTTGTTATTTAGGTCAGTGGTTCTCCAACTGTTTGGACCAAGTACCACTTTGAATTAGACATGGGTCGGAAAAAACATCACAGTAACAAGAATTACTGATGTTTTCTCTGGTATTACCTAGGGGCACTCCAAGTATCATGGGTGGTATGTGTACCATAGTGTGGTTCTCAGACTGTGGTACACATACACGTCACTCATTTAGGTTTTTTTTGTGTAGAGTTGAAAAGGTGCACTCCTGAAGTTATAGATATATTTAGTATTAAAGTACTAAAAATAGCCATAAATGGAAAAAGATAAACCTCTTAGAGGATGAAGGGGAATAGTGACATTTTTGTTGCGGACATCAGTTTGATGCACTGAAGTTGACTACGGCAGGCTAGTGTGATGCAAACCAGGAGCCCACAGCCTGACAGGCAACATTCCCTGCCCCCCCCCATTGCCAATTCCCCTTTGCTCTTTTCCTCACCTCAGCGATCGAAGCCATGAAAAACGCACACCGAGTGGAGCTGGAGAGAGAGTTGGAAAAGGCGCGGAAAGCCAACAGCGGCACGGAAAACGCAGACATCGAGGAAATCCGCAGACAGCACGAGTGAGTGAGGTGCTCCGCAGGCCTGTTTTCGCTGTGAGGAGTCGTGCACAAAGTGCGTGGACAGATAGGGGGTCAGGTGAAGCACAAATGTGCTGCCACTGCCCACGCCTTCCGATTCTGGCATTTGGCTGGTAACGTGGTACAGATCCAAACCCCCGAATAACAGACCGGCACTGTTAAGAAGAAATAGCTGAACCCTTTTGGTATGCGGTGCACGTTGAATAGGGGACTTCAGATGAATGGGTTAAGCTGGTCGGTGTGACTGCACTTGGCAGTCAGCTGTAGCCGGAGGCCGCAGCACCATGACGGGGCTTCGACTCAGCTGCTGGCTTTGTGAGGCCCGTCGACTGAGACCCGGTTAATCTGTCCCGCTTTTCCTCCCTGGCGCTGTCTATGCGCAACCAGATTGGCACCGCTCCCCGCCTGCCCGTTTTTTTCTGGCCGAGCCAAACGCCGCACGGCGTTAGCCAAGGGTGACCCCTTGTGTCTGTGTCTGTGTGTGTGTGTGTGTGCACGGCAGCGAGGAGCTGATGTCCTTCCAGCGGGAGATCGAGGTGCTGTCGGAGCAGTACTCGCAGAAGTGCTTGGAGAACGCTCACCTGGCCCAGGCCCTGGAGGCCGAGAGGCAGGCCCTGCGACAGTGTCAGCGGGAGAACCAGGAGCTCAACGCGCACAACCAGGTGACGCTCTGCCGCCGCTCGTCTTCTCAGCCTAGTCTGTCCAGCATTACATTAATAATTCAAAGAATTACAGCCTTTTAACTTCATGCTCTTAACAGAATATGCTCTGTAGCCATGTAAAGTCAGCAAGTCAAACAATGGTTTATACATGTGTAAATATTTTATACATCTAGGAGCTGAACAATCGTCTGGCAGCAGAAATAACGAAGTTACGCTCTATGACGACTTACGACAGAGGCGACTCTTGCACAATGATTCATGGGAAAGAAATGTATGAACTTGAGGTAAATGGATCTCAATAAAATACGATGCTTAGATGTACATTAAGGTACTGATGTGTGTTAAACGAATTAATGACTTTGTTTACGTCTGTTATTCATATGTTTGTAAAAACGTTGCTGGCTATTACCGTTCAAAATTACTCACTGTGATTTTCATGTGTCCTGAGTTCCAACTCGGAGTTGAGGGAGAGCAGTGTGGTTTCGGATGTCCATTACAGGGAAGTAAACTGCCATTCACGCTGCTGTCCCCAGGTCCTGCTGCGGGTCAAGGAGTCGGAAGTACAGTACTTGAAGCAGGAGATCAACTCTCTGAAAGACGAACTGCAGGCGGCTCAGAGAGTATGTAATGTGGGGGGGGGGTAGTCGTAGACACACTGTCATGGGAGTCGTAAGCATGCTCAGCCTGGCGACTGATGCATGCTGGAGCGTCTTCTGACTGTTTGTCTCCAAATGTTCCAGGACAAGAAGTATGCCACAGACAAGTACAAAGATATTTATACGGAGCTGAGCATCGTGAGGGCCAAGGCGGAGCGGGACCAGAGCCGGCTGAGGGAGCAGCTCCAGCTGGCCCACGAGGCACTGGGCGAGTCCTCCATGGAGGACATGGAGCGCGGAGGCTATGGTAGGAACCGGAGAGCCTACGTGCAGAAACAGGCCACTGTTGGGCGGGTGGGGGCAGACAGAGGGTTGGTGGAAGATGAAGTGTGCCTGATTCATTCGTATGGACAACAAGCAACAAATCCTGTTTTTTACATCCAGTAATCCAGTTATGAATGTACAGTAGGTCTTAAATGTATTCTTTATAAAGGTGGCATCTAGTATAATTAGACACTGTCTAGAAGCTAACATTAAAAGACAGGCATTTTGTTCAGTTTGCATAATCTATGTAAAGAAAGGAGTTACCATAAAATGGCTCTGAAAACGCCGCTGGTTAAAACCTGTCTGAAGCTAGAAAATATTTTGTCACGGCAGACATTTCATACAATTATGAAATTGGTCTCAGCTGTACCAGTCGAACTTAGGCTGCCAGATCATGAATATGATTGCTGGTAGTAAATCTGTTGTGCTTTAATTACAAGCCTGAAGTGTCCTTCAGCTTTTGATGAGCCCTTCTTCACGTGTTCCCACCGATGACCTCATCTCTCTCAGGGAGAGGCCCTTGAGTTTCTCGTTGCTCAAGAATCTGTCCTGATGCCAATCAAATATTTACAGATATTATGAAGTCCAAAAGCAACCCAGACATCCTCAAGATGGCCGCCGCAGCTGCCAAACGCTCAGAGCGCACAATGAGGTCAAAGGTAGGCATCCAGCACTGCCGGCCTGAGAATGTAATCTTGATATTGCTACAAGAACGTTGGCTCTTTTCCTAATGTAAACTATCTGCTTCAACGAACATTAGCTGAACAGAGAAAAACGCTTAATGGAACACCACTGCTGAAAACCATATATGCTCATAAAGTTTGTTGACTTTTGCACAACATTGCCACACTGCCCCCTTCTGGGCAGCTCCGCTAATTTCTTTATCTTCTTCCAGATTACCATAGTTTAAAAAAAAATAATAATAGAATTTTGAACTTTAAAGAGCAAGGCGACTTTTTAAATTTAGTCAATTTGGAATAATAACATCCTTATCGAATTAGTTTAGATCATATTCGAGGAACATAGATGCAGAATTCTGGCATGCTTTAATATAGTCATGAAACTCTGGCTCAGAGTGAGCAAATTATCTCTGGTTAAGTGAGCACTGTAATTCCACAGAAAGCAACACTTACCACTTAATTTAAAATTTGATCGTAGCTGTTTAATAAAATAGTTGATGCTGATGTATTAATATGTTGTTCTTCTGCATCTGGCAGGAAAAACCCTGGTAAGTTATGTAGGGTGTGGTGTTTTACCTCCACTGCCCCTCCCCCTTTCCCATCTAACACACCCTGGTGTGCTTCCTCCCTCTGTCCTCAGTCTGTGAATCGTGACATGCCCTGGGACAGCTAAGGCTGCCTGAAGACCTTAGTGGCTCCTAGGTAAATCCTCGGGGACAAGGCCATGCCTCTGAGAAACATCCGATGCCCAGTTTCACTCACTGCTGCTCTTTCCCAGGGTGCCTCTCTTACTTGCATCTGAAAAACCATGATGCTTTGCTCCATTTCCCATTCGGTTCATCGTCTGTGTCTTGAAACCACAGGTGCTTGCTTTATAGCCACTCCTCAGAAGAATAATAATAATAGCTCTTGTACAATAGATTCTTTGTACTTTTTTTTTTTTTTGCTCTGGAATCATCCCATTTAATGATGTTTTTTCCATTCCCGTGAGCTGTTTTATGAGCATAGGAACACTTAAGCACGCTATGGGGCTTTCTGTTATTTCTTTGGACACATCACTGGTTATCTAGACCTCTTTGCGTGGAAGACCTGCTTGTCTTTTCATTGCCTTAGTTCCAGAAAATTAGCAGCAGCGTTTGAGAGATCACTACCCACAGTTGCAGGGGATGCTCTTATGCTTGTGATGATGCCAACACACTCTGTTGAGAGTCTGTGTGGGTGTTGGGTTTATGGTTTCCTACTAATTTATACTCCCCAGCACATTGTGTCTTCCTGTAGGGTTAGGCAAGGTCCTCACATGCCAGGCCTCATGAGGCGCAGGTTTTGGTAGTTCGTCTCCAGCTGAGTTTTAATTTTTATGCTGTAATTTCGCTGTTGTCTTGAACAAGGACACAATTTAGACTAAGCCAGAACCACAAGTTGTTAGGTTACTGTAATATTTGTTTTGTTAGAAGTGCACATGTACAGGCAATAAAGTGAAATTCCCCTTTTTTGGTTCTTTCAGAGACCAACCGAAATACATTAGATGTAGATAATGGTGTTTAATTATTTATAGTCCGTTTAATTACTATAAATAAGTGACTTTATTGTATTAAAGAATGAGATGTTGGTTAATAAAGAGTTCAGCCAATATCTGGCCTGCCAGGAATGGAATTTTGGACCATTTTGCTCTATGAAATATTTTAGGACAAAGATCCTAAGTTAGAGGTGAAATGCAAAACTATTGGGGCCTTTTAATATCCTTTATTTAGCCATTTTAAATTCTGATTTTTTTTATTGCTATGCAGTCCATTGCAGTTTGTTTCCAGGAGATGTGCAAGACATGACATTTACATTAAATCCACATCTCCCAGGGTAGGGCAAATACACATAGCCACATTACACTTAGGAACTTTGTTAACCCTAAGTGTCTGCATCATACATCATAATCTATTATAAAATATATTCCTACCACCATGACTAAATGTCACAGCACAAGTGTGTGACCTCTTCCAATTTAAAGTTAGTACTAACACAAAGGCAACGCTTTATTCTTTGTTTGAAATGCTTGTTTTCTCAAAAATCATCCTTACAGTTGTGAGGAAAGGTTTATGAACCATATGGAATTATCTGGATTTCTGTATGATTAGCTCTTAAATGTAATCTGATCTTTGTAATAATAATAAATAATCATCTTTACTAAACAATACACAATATTATATATGTATTGAAAGTTATAAATGGTTTAAACCAGGGGTGGCCAGTCTTATCCGCAAAGGGCCGGTGTGTATGCAGGTTTTTGGGATAACCTGTAGGTCAGCTGTTCAAACCCAGGTGTGAGGACTCTTCAGCCAATCAGTTCTCTAATTAGTGATCTAATTTGGGAGTTGCAGCGAAAACCCGCAAACACACACCGGCCCTTTGCGGGTAAGACTGGCCACCCCTGGTTTAAACTATGAACATCAATAATAGAAAAAGCATGAAACCCCTAAAGCAGTGTTTCCAAGCCGGGCTCCCCCTCCCAGCTCCCAGCAGGAGCAAAAACAGTTGGGGGAGGGGGGTGTCTCCAAGGACTGGGTTGGACAAAGAAATTGAGGGTTTAGTGAGAATTTGTACCCCCTCCCATTTTGCCTTTGAACAGACTTGTTTTGAAGAGCGTGTGTGTGTGTGTGTGTGTGTGTGTGTGTGTGTGTATTTACACACATACTGTGCATACTTATTTGCTAAGTACTATTGTTAGCCAACTAATTAATAAATAATTCAGAAGTTTTGTTTTGCTCAAAGTAAATTTATTTAGAGAAGATGTTACATTAGACTTTCACAAAGAAGAGCACTTGATTGTGCACAATTCTTAGGCAATCAGTGGATTTTTCTTTCTTCATCTACAGAAATATAAAAAAAAAAAGTTTTAGCCATTCAGTCTATACAAGGAATAACAAACTATCAGACGTTCTATACAGTCCACTTCAGTGTCCTGTATAGCCACCTTTCTTCTCAGTGACCATTGTGACCTTATTCTCCAGTTTTTTGTTTTGATCATGTCAAACTTTAGCTGAGGCAGCTAGAACCACCTCCCAGACGCTGCTCTGAGAACTGTACTGCTTGCTACCTTGGTAATCTTATACTTTAGTAAGGCCCAGTAGTTCTCAATGGGGGTTAAGTCAGGTGATGAAGGGCCAGGTCATAATTCAACCACCTTTCAAGTCTTTCTTGGCCAATCTATGGAATGCTTTGATGCATATGAAGGGGCATTGTCCTGCATGAATATCAACCTTTTGGAAAGCTTTGCTGACTTCTTCCTGTGACAGTGTTTGTAGAAAGTATCTTCTAGAAATTGGCAGTAGATCTTGTGAATAATTTTTATACCATCTGGAAGTGTGAAAGGTCCAACAGGTTCCTCACTGAAACTGCAGCCCATACCATCACTCCTCCACCACTTTTTTGGCACTTGAAGGTGTCCAAAACTGGCCCATTAATCTTTTTCATCACGAGTCAGTCTCATCTCATCTGTCCACAAAATGTTTAAGATATCAGTCTTGAGATGTGTCCATATCCATTCTTAATGTTTTAGCTAGTGTGCCTTATTGAGTGGAGGTCATGTTTCAGCCTTTGCCACCTTGCCAGTAGCACGGAGTACTTGGAGATTCCATTCAGATTTGAAAAATGGTGGCACTTAATTCTAAATTGTTTCTTGAAGTCTTCCCTTTGACACAAATCATTGGTAGTTAATTTGTGTCATTCTCTCTACATGCTTTTTCCATCTTTTTTGTCTGTTGGCCACAAAACACTTGATTGTATGGTAGTCACATTTTAAAGGTTTAGCAAATTTGTTTGCATCCCTCTGACCGGCACAATACTTTTTTCTGCTCTCTATAAGGTCCTTTTTCGACCTGGTTTAATAGTAATAATTTGCTTAATTCTGCACAGGATAGTATGCATGTTTTCCTGTGTTTCTCCAAACAGAAAGTACTCAGACCAAATACTGAACATGCTCTGCTTTTTAAAAAGTTTTTCCAAAAAAAAACTTTCTGAAAATATTGGGTGGAAGAGAAGATGCAAATAAAATATACAGTTGCCTAATAATTCTACACAGGGTGTATATATAAAATCATTTAGTTACCTGCTCTTCAAAACAATTTTGTTCAAAGGCAAAATGGGCCCAACAAACGAGATTTCAGAAGACTATTGGAAAGGGTTAGTCCATAGTCAGGCAGATTGTTTCAAAGTTGGAAGGAATTCAGCCCCGTTACTACACCACCTAGAAATGGGTGTCCTACAGCAATCAGTGTAGGGACATGCTGAAGGCTCCCCTAACAAGTACCAAAGAAACCGAGGGTGACAGCAAAGGGTCTGCAGACATCTCTTGCATTTGGTAACTTCAGTGTATATGAGGCCACAATAAGACAGCCACTGAACGAGTGGTGTTCATGGTTTTACTGTGAAAGGAAACCACTGCTCTTCACAAGGCCAAACGTGTGAAGCATGGTGGAAGGACTATAATGGTTTGGGGCTGCTCTGCTCCCTCAGGGCCTTGGCGGCTTCGAGGGACCAGTTCCAAGTTGTTTCAGGAATTCTACAGCCAAATGTTATGCCGTCTGTTTGTGATCTAAAACTCAAAAGTAGTTGGGTCATACAACATGGCAGCGATTCAGCCCTGCATTCTGGCTCAGCAATACAATGGCTCCAGCAGAAGAAAACTCAACTCAATTTTAGATGGCCTTTCCAGCAAGACATCCCAAAAATATACAAGACCCGAAGCCGTTTTGAATAGAAGAATAGCTCAAAATACCTCTGAATGCAAAGGCTTGATCATTAGGTTAAAAAATATCTGGTTGAGATTATTGCCACCAAAGGAGGTTCCACTAATTAACCACTAAATCTAATGGTGTATATACTTTGTTCCATTTGTGACCATGATTGTTTCTTATTTTCAATAAAAGCACAATGGAAAAATATTGTTTGGTAGATAAGATATCTTTATTTTCACTGTTCAGACCACATTTTATGAGATATTCATGCAGGAATCCAGATAATTCCAAGAGCTTCACAAACCTTTTCTCGCTTGTAAGTAGAACCTGGTGTCTCCTTTTCCCCTGAGGGCTGTCGAGCTGCATTTCAGCAGTTTTCAGCAGTGGAGACCCTGTATTAACTATTAGTTTAAAAAATTAACATGGACAGATACCTTATTAGCAATGGCAATTAAAAAGCTGCTCAAGTAGATTAAAAACGAGTTTAGTTAGTGACTGTCCCAAGACCTGTTCTGATTGTGTTCGTACAGCGATTATGTAGAATATATGAATTTACGTATCTGCGGAGAGCATTGTGAAATATTGAAATGCATTTGAATTGGATTTCGATAATGAAAGTGACTGATAGTGCTACATAGTCACGTCTTACAATGACATTAGTGGCGTGTTTCCAAACTGCAAGTGCTTCTAATTGCAATGCTTGCATATTGCATGCAGTAAGTAGTTTATCAGGAAAAGTAATTTTCCTGAGACTGATTTATCACCCCCCCAAGGAACAGTTTGTAGTCATTGCATCAGCATGTTAATCCACTGCTAACAGCTAATTTAATTTTTACAACCTGTTTCATGCAGATATTTCATTTGTGGTTCATTATTTGACATCCATCACTTGATGTGTCAGCAAGTACAAGTATCACTTTCAATGTTCTTGAACACCTGAATGAAAAAAATGAAGACCGCTGCTGTAGGTGGTGAGGCTAGTGCCCCGGGTATTATTTACATTTATTTAGTGTTCTATACAATGGTTTTCCCTTATGACTGTTAAAATATGGCATGAAAATGATGCTCGCAATCCAATACAAATAGTAATGCAAATAAATGCATGGTTTGCATAGCATCCTCACTTGAACATTGTTTCAATATACTTACGACTTCAGCCATCTTTCATTTTTTGTAAGTTAACTGAACATTTTTTATGTATGCTGCATGTATAGCTGTGCCTTTTTATAATCAATATTTTAGTGTACTGTGCTTAATACTGCGAGTTCTTTTCTGTAATTGGCTAAAAATAATGGCTATATGTAATAACTTGTGAAAGCAGGAATGGTGTAGGTGATCATTTTTACGCAGTACTGTGTTTGCATGACTTTTTTTTTGTAGTGGTTGGGTGGGGAATGTGTCTGTTTTCTAGTGATTAACTTGGCTGTCAGCTCTCTCTTGCATATAAGGGGCAATGTGACCAGTATCAGCACTGTAATTCTGTGCCATTAGCGTGTCATTACAGTGGCACAGTGAAGTTGTGCTTTCATTGTACACATTTTTCAGTGGTTTCCTAGCCTTGTCAAAAACGGCCTAACCCTCTACAATGAATTGGAGTCATTTGTAATTACATTTATTTTAGCACTATAATGTTTTATTCTTCTTCAACTAGAACAAAACTAGTGAATTCAAAGCTCCATAAATGGCATAGCCCAGATGAGTGTAGATTGTATGCTATGTAACTGTGAGTTATTTGCATCGATTCTTCTGATATCTAGCTGTTTTGGAAAATCCTGTGACCTGCAAAAATGACCTGTAATGACCTGTAATTGTTACTGAATGTTCCCTTTGCTTGTTTGTCCTTAGAGTCTCAAGGAGGGCTTGACTGCTGAGCAAAGACTCCACTTGTTTGACAACAAGGAAGCTAAGGAGTTTTAACGACGAAACATCAACCAGCGTCACTGCATGTTTATTTTAGTCCTGTAATTCATAATTTAGAAACATCACAAGTCTTATGTTAAATTTGTTATGGAGTTTTTTTTGTCTAGAATCTGCAGTCCATGCACTACAGTTACTGTGACTTTTTCCCCCATTGGCACGTCTTACTGTAAATATTTTGTGTTGGTTTTAAAGGAGTATCTATCCTATATAATCTAAACACTACTGTGTAAGCTACTGTTTTAAACATGCTCTTAGTATGTGTGAATAGCCAAAGGAAGTCAGTTTGTATTGCCTGATTATCACAGCGTGTTAATGGTTGAATATTGCTTCATAGCCAGCAATATCAAAAGTTTGCCCTAAGTAAGTAAAGTTAGATTTGGTCAGTATGCCCAATTTTACAGTCCCTCTCTGCCCTCTTTTCATTTTAATGCTGGCATAAAAAAGCTTTCAAAGGAATGGTTGCCTGCATAATTTTACAGGTTTAACTTGGCTAAATTGAGCTTTGCTTGTTAGCCTAAATAGTGATAGCTTGTACATGGTTCTTAATATCCTAGTGTTACTTAAAAAATTATAAATAAAAGTGCAAGGACCCAAGAAAACAGTGTCTAAATTTTACATGGATCGGTTCAGCAGTTATAGTAATATAAATTTATATATTTCTTTCTGTAATCATTGATTCACTCAGCTGTAAGTTGGTTATGTTTGTAGTGCTGTTCAGTGGCAGTCCCATTGTATTTATTTAATATTTTGGAATTTTGTTTCACGTTCTCATTTCTGTTTTCTGTTGTAAATATACAGCAAATGTATACCAACTGACTACAAGTTTATTAGCAATAAATATTTTTGCACCCTGTCTGTGTGTTTAATTTTATATTTCAAGTGAGAACTTTGGCTCAGCTACTCCAGGGGTCTCATTTATCAACTGCGTACAAAGGAGATTGCAGAAAGGCTTCCATCCCATTATTATTAGTAAGGCTTCCAAGACAATGCTCATGCTCGTACTGCAAAGAGAGCCAGCGTTGTGACATCGAGAAACTGGCTACATTTATCCTCAGAGTTATCCGGCTAAAAAAGGAATCCAGCTTCATGATACAAGACCCTGATCCTTTGCTTCTTGCAAAACACCTGTTGTTTCAAAACACTGACATATTCCCTTAATTCTGTAAACTTTAATTTTGTACACAAGTAAATTACAGGGGGCACCGAGGACTAGGGTTGTCGCGATCACGTAACGACAATGTATGGAGCGTGCGCAATCATCACCAGGGCTTTAGATGATCGGTGAAAACCTTATCCAGACGCTGGCTTTTCGGTACTATACGGACGTTACTTGCGCCCACAGTTTGGTAAGCAGGCTAGTAGTGTGCTCAAGATATTCATGAGATGCATATTGTGATGCCCAAAAGTTAGTAATTTGTATAAGTTCGGCCTATCCTTAAGTTTAATAAACGTGTCAAACTTTGAACTGCTAAAAGTACCACCACACCTCCTGCATCTTTTACCTTGTTTATCCACAATATCTCCTCTTTCAAAGATGTTGTAGCTGTTGAGCTGTTCCTTTCTTCAGTGCCATGATTTACTAAAACAATTCACTATAGCAAAACTTAAGAAATTATTGGTTCTCAAGAAGTATATTACAGGGTTTTCAATTGCATGGTTCAGCCTCAAGACCCAACTTATTCCTTTATTTCTTTGTCAGTAAGTGACATTCAAGTTGTAGAAGTTGGCAGGGGTGTATTTTGTCCTTTTTTAAAAAAAATAACCACGCACTCCACAGCCCACTGGAAATCGCCTTATAAACCACCAGTTAACACTGGTATAGTAGGTGGGTGAATCTCATATTTTTCAACTGTGATATGAAACAATTATGGAACACCCAAAATCTAAAAATATGACTGTAAAATGTTGATCCATACATCCTTTATTCAGAAAGTTATGTATGTTGTGATGTCACGCTTAGGGAGTGGGATGAGCTGAAGCACTTCATCAAATAAGCACCACAGCACATCCTCACAAATAGGCTAAAAGAACCTGTTTGGTCGAACAAGGTGCGTGCATTTAATTTCAAAATGGCTTTCATCCACAGCAAGGATTATTCCTGGATACAAATCAGTATTCTATGTGAACACATACATGCCCGGGCACTTCTGGGTCTTCCCAATGGATTTGTGTAACACAGCAGTGTTACCAAAAATTCACAGTGTAACTGCTTCTAGGTTGAGCACATACACCTAACATCACAAGATATTATTTCTACTATAGCAACAGTTACCACCTGATGTATTTTCAAGGTTGCTGGAACTGCTGGTAAGTTTGATGACGTCCTCTCAAATGCCTGCTCAACAGTTTCGCCACTGACAAAGAAGAACTTGATTGAACTTAGATGTGTTGGTCTCCAGAAGGGCCTTAAAGAGCTCGTGTGCATTCTGGAAGTCCCGGTCATGGCTTATTAGCACGTCAACAATCCTCCGTAAGGCTGCACTAACACCATCAGATGGTTCTTCACCATGGCTGGCCTTAAAAAAAATTCCCTGCCTTTATGGCTCTTTTGTCCAGCTTAGTGCTAAAAGGAAAAAGATTGCCCTTCTGCTTGTACTGGATACAAGAACCTTCAATAAAAAAGTGTATCACAGAAACCTCTGGGTATTTTCAGACAGTTCACATCAAAGCCTACTTTAGAGTAGTCTACTAAAATCAGAATATTAATATTAAAAACAATAAAATAAAATCATTATCTTATGTACAAAAATAACAGAACGAGTTATTGCACACTATACGTTTAAGAAGTATTGCACAGATTTAACTCTGTAAGGTATTGCACAGGTTTGTGAAAGAGAGCATACCCTTTCGGTGTTCATTTATTATTGCAACAGCCCTAGAATATGTGCTGTTTTTCAGTCTGTTTGTTTTGGCTTTTATCGACCTGTACCGCCTTCCTGAGGGTAACAGCTGGAAAAGTCACTACTGTCAATTGTCAATCATTCAACCCCGTCAAAATGACTCAACCCTGTTGCAATAAAAAATGTGATGTTTTTAGATAATAGCAGCCATAACTCCATATTAAAATTAGACAAAAGCACCACATGGCATTTAGGACATCATACAATTATAATATTTTGCAACACTATTGTTTAATTTTTCCTAAACAACTGTTTACTATCATGTATTTATACAACAGAATTACAATGTTAAGCCTTACAATATCAATCTGACAATAAAAAACAATGAAAAATAGGTAAGAAAAGACACCGACACTTGGCTTATTTTGTAGCATGTTCTTCAAAAGACTTGTCTGATGTCACTTCCTCAATGCTGATGTCACAGTGACATCCATTATTTTTATAGGGGGTAAAGGGTATGGCATGATGGGGTTGGAAGCAAACTGGGGGGTGTGTGTAAATATGTCATGGAAAATTCATCTATTTTTTCAAAAAGAAAATATTTTTGCTTAAAGCAACAAAATTCTGGTATTAATCAATGTTTGATATAAAATGAAAATGTAGGACATGCAAACATGTTTCCCTGTGTAAACCTTAGAGAAGAATCTTTTTAAATAATTATATATATATATATATATATATATATA